CTTCTCTAAATTTTACCCTCGGGTGGCTCACCAAAGGGTGAGTCAAGGTGAAATGGCAACATCCTTCTCTAAATTTTACCCCTGCCTTGCCCACAAAAGGGTGAGTCAAGTTGAAATGGCAACATCCTTCTGTAAATTTTACCCTCGGGTGGCTCACCAAAGGGTGAGTCAAGTTGAAATGGCAACATCCTTCTCTAAATTTTACCCCTGCCTTGCCCACAAAAGGGTGAGTCAAGTTGAAATGGCAACATCCTTCTCTAAATTTTACCCTCGGGTGGCTCACCAAAGGGTGGGTCAACTTGGAAGAGCAACATCCTTCTCTAAATTTTACCCCTGCCCACAAAAGGGTGAGTCAAGTTGAAATGGCAACATCCTTCTCTAAATTTTACCCCTGCCTTGCCCACAAAAGGGTGAGTCAACTTGGCATGGCAACATCCTTCTCTAAATTTTACCCCTGCATGGCCTACAAAAGGGTGAGTCAACTTGGAAGGGCAACATCCTTCTCTAAATTTTACCCTGCCCACAAAAGGGTGAGTCAAGTTGAAATGGCAACATCCTTCTCTAAATTTTACCCTCGGGTGGCTCACCAAAGGGTGAGTCAACTTGGAATGACCACTTCCTTCTCTAAATTTTACCCCTGCCTTGCCCACAAAAGGGTGAGTCAAGTTGAAATGGCAACATCCTTCTCTAAATTTTACCCTCGGGTGGCTCACCAAAGGGTGGGTCAACTTGGAAGAGCAACATCCTTCTCTAAATTTTACCCCTGCCCACAAAAGGGTGACTCAAGTTGAAATGGCAACATCCTTCTCTAAATGTGAAGGCATGAGTGACTAAGTCAGCAAAGAAAGAAGTAAGTAAGTGGCCAGGTTAATGAATGAATGAGTGAAAGAATGAATGAATGAATGAATGAAAGAAGGAGTGAGTGAGTCAGTGAGTGAGTCAGTGAGTGAGTCAGTGAGTGAGTCAGTGCGTGAGTGAGTGAATGAGGGAGTGAGTGAGAGAGTGAGTGAGTGTGAGTGAGTGAGAGTGAGAGTGAGGTTGAGGCAGCACATCCGCGTGTACAGATGAGGCATCTCACGCGCGTGTACAGACGAGTCACCTTGCGCGTGTACAGACGAGGCGCTGACCCTAAAGCCTTAGGCAGGACGAGGTTGTCCGGTGGTGCTGAACTGCTCCTCCCCTTGGCTGTGCGTCCTCGGCCCGCAACTCGCTGGCCCTCCTCCGACTTGTCGTTGTTGAGCCAGGATTCATATTCTTGGCGCGGGTTCTTGTGGTTCCCACGCCATGCCCTCATCCAAGCATTGACCTGCGCATCTGTATGCGCTCGGTCTCGGTCGAAGCACATGCCCACCTTGTCGCCCTTCTCCAGTGCCGTGACTCTCTCCTGCCTCCAACGCTCCATCCAGGCCACCCAGCGATGTGCACTTTGTTGGGGAAACTTCATTGCCGCATCCCGCTTGATGTAGTCCTCCGAGACAGCATGCTCCCGCAAGACACGTAGCTCTTCGATGCGGCCCCCATTGAGGAGCCACTCCTCTTCAGCCGTGATTGCCCGGCCCTGACTCTGCTTTCGCCGGCAGTCAAAGACGACCATGGAGTGACCCTTCCTGAACGTCAAGGCAGGACCACGGATGTCATAGAGGAGCACCTTCTCACCGTCCAGCATGTAGTGCCCAGCTGGCCATGGCATCATCCGGTCTCCCGTAGTAGCGATCTTGCTGTTCACTTGGATCATCACCTTTTCGTCGAGCCATTTAGGCTTGACCGCCAGTGTGTGTGGGGGTCCAGTGACCGTTGAATGCTGGTGGCTCACCGTGGCTCCTCGGGGCTTGCGATGGTGGCGTGCTCTTCTCCCAAGGGTGCTTCCAGCCCACCAAGATGGCTTTGTGCTTTGCGACGGGGTCACCAAAGTGCGATGTGATACAGTCCAGCTCTTCGACCTCATAGCCAAACTCCGCGAGGCTGGACCGAATCGCCTTCCGAGGTCCATTGGGCGCGACATCAATCAGGATGTTCTGTGGGCGGTTATCCCGCACAAACTTCTTGAGGTAGGCCTGCGATCCCCCCCAGCTGTCTTCAGCAATCGAGGCAAAGGCCCAAGTCAGTTCTTCCGTCGTCCCAAGCTCGGCCAACTCTCCCAACGTAGCCCGTTCCAGTGCCACGTCGGCCTTGCTTCCTTTGCTTTGTACCCGCCGAACTGTGCCTCCAATCCGCTCCCAGGTGATGGCCCAAGGAAGCCGACCTGCGCCCAACTCAACGCCCAACCCCTTGCCGATCATGGGGCTGTAGTGGTGACCGGCGAGCTCTTTAGCATCGGACCCCGGGTCATACACAGCCTCCCCTCCAGGCCACCTGTAGATGCCCTGGATGGACTCCCGGATGTAGTGTTCCCATTTCTCCATGGCGTCGACACAGGACCAACCTTGTAGTTCCATGTGTTCGATCACCACCTTCCTGGTCTCTCGGCTGAGCCAGTCTGCGGTCAAGTTGTGGTAGGTCCGAATGTAGAAGGCGATCGTCTTGAAGTGGTAGCGAACCTCAAGCATGCCCAAGATGCGTAGCACGTGTCTGGCTGTCGAGCAGCCAGCCTGTCTCTTAGTGAGCCATGACCTCACATTTTGGTTGTCGGTGACAAGGCAACCAGGTCTCCATCATGCCAGCCAGATGCCCTTGCCGCTGCCAGCCCCACGAAGCAGAACAACTCCGCCAGCGCGATCTTCATGTCCAAGTTTGCGCAAGCTCCGGAACCGCCTCGAGCGCCTTCAGCATGGCCTCCGCATCCTCCCGCATGTAGCATTGGTCCTTCCAGTCCAGCGTTCCCACCACCTTCGGTGTGGCATCACCCCCAATCCAGCGTAGGCGATCTGCTTGGCCTGGTAGTGCCAGGAGTTCTCGCGTGCTGAGCATGCTCTCCATGGACGCCTCGAAGGTGCCCCCCGTAAGGTGCCTCAAACCATACCCTCATGATCTCCAGCGTCTCGTCCCAACTGGCCCAGGCACGGGCCGTCGAAGCAGCATCCTCCACCTTGGGGCGAATGAATCCGCCCTCGCAGCGACTGGGGCAGAGGAACTGGTCAAAAACTGAAAGCTCGGTCTTGAGTGGGGGGGATCGTGAGAGCGACATATTGGCTCAGCCCTCTTAGCTCTTGCGCTGTCTTGAGCTTCACCTGCCTCGACCCCTTTTGCAACTCCGGCAATGCTAAGAGGTAGCGCATCTTAAGGGCCTTGGGCTCGGGAAGGCGGATGGTCATGGACTCCACGTTTATGTAGAGCCCCCAGACGATCTGCTCCACCGCGGGCGTCCCCTCCTCGATCTGCTTCTCAAGGTTGAGGGCATCCTTTCCCAAGATGGTCTTGATTGAGTGGCCCAGTGCTTCAACGGCCAGCCAAGGCCTTGCCCCCAGAAGAGGCTCCACCACCACACTGTCGTCCATCAACCACTCCGATGAGAAAGGTGAAGGCCCATTGATCTCCGGCTCGGCTGGGCGGAAGCTCTCGTGGTATGCTCGGCCTGCCAAAGCGAAAGCCATGTACTCGCCAGGAGCGCCGCACCAACCAAAGGGAAACCCCCCATAGATCATCTTCACCCTGCCATTGAGACCCACCGCATGTCCAGGTAGAGCGCTGCCAAAATCAGCCGCGTCTTGAAGGCCCTGCTCACGTCCAGCTTGGCGATAGCGCACCTGATGCCCGGATTCCTGGCACGGCCTTCCTGGCCACCTGACGATGCCGAGGTTGAACTGCAGGGGGATGTTGGTATTTATGGGTGGCAGCATTGGCAGTCATCATAGCGTGGATGGCTTCCTTGAGCGCTAATACTCCTGTCCGGCAGTTGCTTGGGCACTCGACCTTGCGGGCACTCGATGAGGTTCTTGGTGTAGCTCTCGGTGTCATCCGAGGCGAAGAGCACGATCCCCCAATGGCCATCCTTCCAAGCCTTCTGGAACATCTCGTCCAGGCGGTCCACCGCTGAGGGGTAAGGCTCTGCTCGCAGTCGAGTGGGGGGGGTAATACCTTCGAGTTGGAACTCCATCCTGGTGCATGGCCTTGAGGTACTCGGCATGCTCCGGAGGCAGTTGGGAAAGCACTTCATCAGTGATCGCTCCTTCGGTGGGGCAGCCAATGATCTCCCGACGAGCTGACCTGACAGCCGCCATGGCATCTTCAAGGCACACTGCTGCTCTCAAGGTCTCATCACCCATGGTCACAGCTTCTCGGATGACCTCGGGGCTGTAGGTCGGGTGGTCACGACAGTGCTGGACATAGCGCCTGGCCAGGTCCAAGGTGTGCGTATTCTCCTTGTCGTACTCAACTTTGCCCACCTCAATGATCTCCGCCATCTCGTCTTTGGCATCAAGGTCGAGGATGGTCTCGTTGAAGTGGCCCATCACCGACATCTCCTCCTGCTCGAGCAAGGGCGACGCCGCCAGATAGCCAACTTGTCTCCCTGCTTGGTCCGATGCTGGCTATCCACCTCTGGATCTCGATCTCGACCTGTCGGCCCCCGTTGATCCAAACCATGAGCGCTTTCACGACGTAAATGTCAACACCTTTGCGGGGCACAAAAATCATGAATGGATACCCTGAAGACGTGTCAGTTCCAGTGAGGGCTGTTGCGGCTCGACTCTCCTCTTCAACGAGTTGGCCGTCTCGACTGAAAACTGATAATCCAATTGGATTGTTGGGATTTCCGCATCTTTATGCTTGTCTCTTCAGATGTGTTTGTCTTCGGGGGCTTTGCCAGCCACACAGTGGGGACACCATGCAGCAAAGTCTGCATGGGTGAGGTTGTGTCTTGCACGTTGCTCGTCGGACGGGGTTTCTGGTTGCCGTAGCTGCTTTAGGCCTATGGGTTGCACATCTTGGCCATCAATCATTTCGCTCAATTGGACATCTTCGTCCTCCATTTCAACTTCATGCTCATCCTGGGCAATGGCTGCAACAAATTGTGCGGGTGACATGTCAGATAATCGGTCTTGATATGGCAAATAAAACCGTGCACCAAACCGAGGCATGTTGATGGTGTGGCTTTCAGGTGTTTGGATGTGTGACGTTTTGCCAGACGATGTCCGGTAGAAATGCATGTCACAATCAGTTTCATCCAGAATGCGGCAAAATGCCATCACGGGCTCCATGGCGTCAGTGACTTCCATTCGGAATGTCGCTGGTATCCAAAATGGTTCGCCAGAGGCCATGTTTGCTGCAAGCTGTGTTTGTGCTAGTTGTTCGCCTTCATGTCGGATTGGTGTGCCGTTGATGGCCCACAAGTCTTTCTTCTTGGTTGGATCTATGGGTGCTCCTTGGAATGCCGTTTTGTTTGCAATACTTGTGGTGGCACCGGAGTCTACCAAAACATATTTTGACACCAGATTTTGCAGCTAGTACGGCACCTTTCTCAACGGCAACTGCGGCCAAAGGATGTGGTGACGATGTTGCTTGACACTTGTCATTCTCAACGACTTTCGCCGGAGAATGGCACATCGGGGACTGACAGACTGCAAAACACATGTCGGAACTGCCAGTTGCGACTGCTCCTTGATGATTTCTCTTTTGACTTGATGCGGTGGTTCGCGGATTTGCGGCATGACTGGCAGCAAGTTGTTTCAACTCATCAGCTTGTTGTTGCAACGTTGCGAGTGCGGACGGTACGGACGTGTCCTCGCATGCACTGTCAACTGCACCTACGGTGTTTGTGTTCGGGGTCCTTTCTTTCCTTCTTTGCTTTCACCTTTGGGATGTGCCCGAGCGTTGAAATAGCATTCTTTGGTTGTACGGTTTTTACCTTTGTCAGGGCCGCAAATTGCACAATGTCCTCCTTTGCCATTCTGCTTCTTTGGCATCTCTGTTCCTTTACCTTTTTCTTTTCCTTTGCCTTCACCTTTCGTATCTCCTTTCTTTCCGCCTTTGTTGTTCTGACTTCCTTTCTGACCTGAAGTCTTGCCTTTGGACTTACCTGCTTGGTCCTGGCCGTCAAGCGCAACAACATCCATGGGAACTGGCCCAAAGTTAGCGCCACCTGATGCAGACCCAGTAGCACTTGAACCAAAGGTTGTTCCAGCACTGCGTTTCCACAGGTTTTTCGACTTCAAGTACTGCACGACGAATTCTCGCATCGATGTGTATGAGGTCAAATTGGAAGTTTGTGTTTATTTTCAGTTTCAAAACGCGCATACATGCGACGCCACAGCTCCAAACCATTCCGGTCAGGGACTTACATGGTCATTGCTGGAATTTCGCCCAGCTGACACTGACCTACCAAAATTGCAAACAAATTGGTGGACAGTTGCTCATTTACTTCGGACAACTCAACGGTAGCAACTTCATCTTTTTCCGCCTGGGACTTTTTGAGCAGGCCGGGGTGAGATGGGTCTACGGTGCCGATCCATGTCACGAAACCAAATTTTTTTTCTCCTCGGAGGCGACCTGTCATGGCGCGGGCACGCTATGTACAGCCGGGCGCCAGTCGTCCCCCAACAGCGTCGAGCACAGGGCGCGCTGGAGGGCGACGCCAAGAAGGCCCCACCAGCGGCGGCTCCACCCGGCAGCAGCAGCGGTGCGGAGAGCGGAGGGGGCGCGCCGGGCGCGAAGTCGGACGAGGCGGCGCACGTAAAGACTCCGCGTTCCAGCGGCCACCGACCTCGCAGGCAAGAACGAGGAGCTGCTGCGGGCCTCCAGCTGCAAGCTCAGGGTATACCGACGGCGTTTGCGCCGCTCAGCCCAGCGGAGCGCGACTCCATCCGCGTCAGCGGCCCCTGGGAGGGGGGCACCGTCGCGCGTCAGGGCGGAGACGAGGGTGGCATCGCAGCACCACGTTTCCCCATGCGGCGAGGCGCCATGCACGATCAGGTCGAGTCGACGGCGGTCGTCGGGGGAAATGTGGGGCGCGTTGGTGCGCGCAAGCCATTAGTTGCGGG